TTGATTTCCCGTTTCAAAATTGTTAAACTGATATTAAAAATCTAAACAACATATTTCTACGTTTCGAGGCACATATAGTTCGGTTCTAAAAGAAAGTTCTCGTGCATGTATGTAAGTACCTAAGTGAACCTTTTTTCGTCTTGCGTATCTCAAGCAGAAATGATGCTCGTTTAATTATTTTATTCGAATGACACATTGGATACCTGATTAAACGTTCATTAAAATCGATTGGAGTAGTTGTATAAAAAAGAAAATTGAAGAGAATTGAAATTATTTTTCTGCTAGGAACTAATAAGGAGGGGGGCGCCCCTTCCAATTTATGTCCTTTAAATTTAAGACAAAAAACTCCGTTCTTTTATTTAGAAGCGGAGTAAATATTACATTAATATTGAAAACAACACTACACCCCAATGGCACAACAGTTCCCATCACAGCAGCGTCTTAAATTTAACATTATAACATAAATAATCAAAAATACTGGATGCTGATTTGTTAACAATGGAGATTCATACAGATCCTTTACTGGAAGTACATTTTTTACTATACATAATGAAAAATGTATATGTATATGCCTAAATCAAGAATGGAAAATTTCTTCCAACAAAGGTATGAAGAAAATTGTCTATGATAAGTTAGACATATGTGGAATCAGTACAATTTTTACCATGTTACTAAATTATAACATTCCAATAAAAATAGAACAGGAAGTTCACTAACTAAATAAATATTATAACATTTTTCTATCAAACACACACACCACTAACATATGTATTATCTATATTTTTCCTATATATTCACCACCATCTAGATACATTGAGTCAACAATAATATAATTCAATGGAGCACCAAATACCATCAATTTCCGCCATCATATGCCTCCATTCCCTTATTTACACTATGACACTACACCAACGTTAATTTAACAACTGATTTGTACAATTAAGTCACGAAAGAGTTCGATTAAAGAGAACCGTCGATTTGGAAAAGCAAACCAACATTACTTATAGAGGGTTATAGAGTAGCCAAATTTTGTATTTAAGCTCAAATATATAAATAATGATATACCGATACTAGTTTTTGAAAATACGAGCAAATAAGGCTTCCACTTTTATTTGAATTTATCCCAAATTAAATGTGATTTATAGGCAATAACTACGCGTACGCGCGCCCTTCTGTGTGCGATTCAATTCACAACATTTTTGCCGACCGAGCGACCCTTACGAAAGTGTGCGCGCGTAGTAAAATAATATGAGTTTGATATCTACGAATGACGTTTCAGTCAAATAATGCATTACCACGTATTCTGAATTTAAAAGATACAATGAACAGAATGTTTGAGATACTTTTTTATAAACTTTCTTAACCATTCGCCTATATTACTTATCCTGCAACTTCGCACTTCGCACTACAGGCACTCGGAAAAACGATCACCGGTAGGGAATTCCACTCCTTCGCTGTGCACATTATAAAAGATGACTTATAGTGCGAATATTTGGAATTTCAACCAAGTGTGGATGGCAGCTTGCAAGACGTCAGGTACTCCGTTAGGAGAATGGAGATGGCAGTATGAGCTTATGAAGCTCATGGGCATACTCTCTGAAGTACAATTTTACTGGATTTAAAAATATCAATACCCAGTTTTTGATATCGAAACAAAAGTATCGAGTATTTTACTCGGTATCGTTCTGTCCCCAACTACAAGACCGATCAATGACTTGAAAACAAAAACTCCACTAAAACATTCTAGCGCTTTCAAATCTTACTTCGGTTCTCTTTTCTCACTCTTTTCAGACTTTATCTGTTTCAAAGTATAATTGACATCAATCATTAAGAAAAAATAAAACTTATTCATTTTTAATGAATCTATCGTTATGTCTGTGTTATCCTTTCTTAATATTAATGGTATAGGTAAACAACACATGATTCAGAATTAGAGAAAATCATCAATTTTAGGATAAATATGATGAAAAGTGTTGGGTATCTTTTAACTCTTACAAAATATTTGTAAAAGAAAAATGTAATAAATAATACAGATATTGTTGGACGAATTCTTTTTATGTATAAATTCAACTATGGTAACAACTTTCATACTGTTTGTCTATTTTTTATTTAATCCGACTTCTGCTTGACTAGAGCCCGACTTATATAAATATTGACATACATTAAAAAACAAAAATGTCAAATGATTTGAAAACAAATCAATTTTAAATACCCTTTGTAAGTTTCTTTAAATGCATTATATACAAAAATGAAAATGGAAAAATCACTGAGGAAGACAAAACTACATCGAAAATATTAAATTAACTTTATAAAATTTTAATAAATCTTTGCCGTTGGTCGACTTATAGAAGTCAATAAAATTTACTGATGTAATTTAAGCTGGCTTCGCATACTTGATGTGGGATCTAAGCCACTTTTCATTCAAATCGATAATACGATTTTATGTTAAGCAATCGTATCGATTTTTTTGTTGTTAAAATTAAAAACAAACAAAAACAACATTCTATTGTTACATGAATGTATTTTTAAGGTCAGGCTGTTTTTTTGCTTTGACTAAATTTAATTATACAAGACTGTGTGCACGTTTTCGCTGTGCCAACACAAATATTCTAAACATTAAAAACATGAAAGATATTATTGTATTTACAATTTTACTACAACTTTGTACAAATATCAGCAAGACAAGCACCATTCAAGGCGTTTAACATCTACAAATCAAAACAATCAACATTTCATCAACAACATATGAGTATATTCATTATGGAATATACTTTATATCAACATCTAATGAAACTTTGCACATTCCACAAACATTATTTTGTGGCTTTATTTTAAGCAAAACAATAAAAGTTAAATACAAAGAAGTGTGCTTAGATTTTTTGTGGGGTTTTACATTATTATTTTATAAATTTTAAAATTTTTAGGCAGTATATATCAAAAATGCATTAAATGTGCTTTATTATTACATATATATTGATAATGTTTATATAATATTGTGTACAACATAATATCAAAACTGAATAAATGCACTATAATCTAATCTCTTTGCATATTACTAATTTGTTTATGGCCTTTACATTATAAGTAAATGGATAATACACAGATTAAATAATTATTATTAAATAATAATTACGTTAAAATATAATTTGTACGTTGAACTAAATTAAAATCAAGCATTTTTTTCCAAAATTTTACTATCGTTTCCAACCAAAAAGTTTGTAATGCCAAACACTTTCGTGAATTTCAACTATATATCACAGGTAATACATTCCACATTGGTATAACAAGAAATTGAAACGAAAAAATTACATTTCAAAATATATTATCGGTACAAGCACAATGTTAGTAAACACAGATATAGAATAAATGCAGTTATACAATTAGACTTATTAATATAATTGTTTTATATGGGAAAACTATCAGAGTTAAAAAAATCATATAATGAAAAATAAAAATAAACTTTTGAAACCTTTTTAAGTGGTAAATAAATAATATTTGAATTACACATTTCTTTTACAATAATTTTCGCGGGATAATAAAATATTTTAATTATAAGCATGGTCACATTAATAATCTTTTCAACAAGCCATTTAAAGACGTAGGTTGGTAAGACTGCTATGTTTAACATTTAAAATACAAGATTTGTACAGGATTAGTTCAAAATGAAGGAGAAATTATTGAGAACGCTGTATTGTATAAATATGTATTTTATTTTTGCAATCTTAGAATAACAACCAAGCGAACCGGCTCATCTGACGGCAAATACTTGTGAAGAAAAGATACAGAAATAGGCAAGAGGGTAGTTCCATCTCAGACAGACTCTTAGGTAGAAAAGGCCCCACTACCTACATAGTGTATCCTTATATCACGTAAATTCATTGGTATTTCTGTTAGTAACAGTTTAACTTCTGAATAGGGTCACCGGATGAAAAATTTATAAGTACTGACATTTTGGCGCAAACGAAAAACACAAACGAGACGAAAAAGCAACAATTCTGCGTTACCCAAAAAAGGAGGCGAAACGTCATTTGGCCCCTTCATCCTTTAACGCCACTCCGGCTAAAACGGTCGTAGGACGAGCAAGTTGTTATTATTCGAATTAGCACAAAAATAAGTGTTTTCGTCTGAATGACATTTCTTTAGTTGCTTTGTCATAAGAGAAGCTATTAGCAGGTTTTCTCTGGCGAAAATTATTATCTAATCAAAACGTAAAATGTCGGCTTCAATTATTGGATCACAAAGAAAACGTAGGAAGGAAATAGCTTTACCTATCGTTTCAGATTTGAGACCTTCAGAAATCATCAATGAAAGGAAATCCGGTGACGCTAGTATATTTACAAAGAACACATTTTGTTTAATAGCCATGTTAGCTTTTATTTTACTTCGAAGACACTAAATTGACATGTTTTATAAGGAAAAAAAAAGAGAACGTTTAATATTGGTATCATACGACTTCAATGCGAGCTTAAGTTCAATAAATACAATTTTATTCAATATCGAAATGTTTCAGACACTCTAAACATAATTATTTTCGTTCAAAATTTATATTACAAGACAATGAAAAAATTAAAACTGGATTCAGTTTTACTTGTAACAAAGCTTAGTTAGTATAGAACTTGAAGATCTGACAGTGACTGAGTTTGTTAACACATTCAGTGCCCACTCCACGGATCCGTGTGGTAGTGGGAGTAAAAGCAGGGCCTACTACACGGACCGTGTATTACTCTCACACACTTTTCTATTGGCTAGTGAGCTTTGGGCTCTCGCTAAAAAACATTTAAAAAAAAAACCCCAAAAAAAATCACAAAAAAAATTTTAAAAAAAACCAACACACCCACAAAAAAAAAAAAAAAAAAAAATAAAAAAAAAAGCAAGTTAACGTTGTCCGCTTGGCCATCTGTACGTATAATTAAACTTACGAAAACCTGTGTTGGATTTTTTGATAACTTGTTTAGTTACACTTTGATTAGCTAACGAAAAGGACGTGTTTTCCTACCAAAATGAATAGTAAACCGAGTACTTCTAAGCGTTCTAGTAGCGTCAAAAAGACATCGTTTTGCAAAAAAAGACGTAACAGTAGTGATGAAGGTGAAGGAATTGACATGGATTTCTTAGAATTTTCGAGTGATGAAGAGGTTTATTCGCAATGTGATTATGAAGATGGATCATCTGAAGAGGAAAGTGATGACAGTAATTTGAGCATTTTCGATACTCGGAAACAACCTGAAATGATAAAGCATACATTGAACACTCTCCAGAAGTCAAGTTCAGCCTTGACGTCAACAAAATCAAATAACATAGCTTCTAAGCCACGTCCATCGCATGTGTCAGCGAAATTGTCCTCTGCTTCAAAAACGGTAGATGATACTATGCCGCAATCTCCTAAGGAAATGGAGGATGAGCTTATGCCACAACCACCACCAGCAAATAGCCGGCATATCCCTTCCATAGAACAGGATTACAATGAACTTCCTGACTTACCTGATTATCTATTGCGAGAGAATATGTCTACCCCTAGTTTTTCCCTGTTAAGATCGGACGTGCCTACTCCTGACTACTGTGATGGCAATTTAGCATCCGAACCTCATAATTCACCTAGCTCGTCTTTGCCTCACTCGACTATTCGTAACATTGCGGAAACTTACCCTCTCGAAAAGAATCTTCAGAACGTGGTGATTTAGTCAGCCCGTCTATTTTCCGTTCGCCTATTCCAAATAATGCAGAAAATTTACTCTCGAGAGAGGTAGCTGCAGCTATTCGAAACGAAGAAAATGTACCCTCTCTAGATTGCCCTACAGAAACTTGGAGCACTGATCGAAGCTCAATGAAGACAATTTACTTTACTCAGTCACAAGAGCTACTAGACATGTGTCAATCATGCATGATTCGTTCGTTTGAGCTGGTACACTTAGAAGTATTGACAATTCATTCATTTGTTTTTGAATGTACCAGTACAACCAATCACAAACAATTGACCGGACCTTTTAACCCGCGATTTGTTTGAATTGTGAATGAGCTGCAAACCGACCGAATCCCGAATGATCTGAATAAACGGGCGAATTGAATTAACAATGCAGACTGCAGAGCATAGAGTAGAGTAATACATACAATACGGCCGACGTATCTTGGCGAGTCCGACCTTCGCGCAGAAGGTTGCGCAATAGCTTTTTTAAGGAACAAAATGGTGGCATGAGGCGACGTACGGGGGGGCGGTGGTATATACAGTAATCTATGGGCGGTGGTCTAGGCTAGAGATTGACCATAAGTAAACACAATCGACCCTTTAGTCATAAAATATCGCAATCGATTAGTTTTATTTAGAAGTTATTGATTTTTGTTTATATAAGATATTAAACGAAATAGATTTACAAATATAGTGAATTTTGTTGATAATAAACAAGATTTCGACTTAAATAAAAAAAAACTAAAAACATATTATTTTCTCAGCTGAAAGACATAATGTACTTAAATATCAATTATCTATTAACGTCTTCTTGAGTAACGACTATTTGAGAAAATTTAGAACCTCCTTATAAATTGCAAATAAATATATTTTTATGTCTTAATTTTAATCGATTTGAATAAAAATCGATTAAACAACACCCTCAGGCACGCGTGTTGGACATCCCTTTCTGGTTACTTCGTAAAGCTTCGTGCTTATTCGGCAATGCTCGGTACACGGTAATATTTCTCAGTCACACGTTAGCATTGGTGTCGTGTTCGTGTCGCTATCTCTGTCTTGAGCACAGTCGGTTACAAAAGTTTTCGTTGTTATTGTTGTTTGTTTTTATTAATAGTGTTAAGTTTGTTTTGTTTGTTTTATTTGTTTTATTTGTTTTATTTGCAAGTGTCAGTTAGCACTTATATTATTCGCCAAACATGCCACCAAAACATAACAGTGTGTTAAATCGCCAGGCGAGAAAAATTATTTACGATTTAACGCAATATATGAAAAAAGAAAAAGAAGAAGGCGTAAAAGATGTCGATAAAGTTTATTTAAGAGTTGCTAACGCAACTGGTGTGTCCCAACGCACAGTACAGCGGATCGCAACTGAAGGCAATATTTCGGGCTTACTTTCAGTATTCCGCACGCCTGGTAAAAAAAGGTCTAGATCAAAACCTATTACTGATATGGATAATTTTGACCAGGGAGTAGTAAAAAGATGCATACACAACTTCCACAAAACTGAAAAAGAAATGCCGACGATAAACAAATTACTAGCGAAACTCAAACGGGATATAAATTTTCAAGGTGGTAAAACGAGCTTAAAGACAATTATCAAAAACTTGGGTTTCAAGTGGCGAAAGACCGAAACCAATAGAATGGTTCTTATAGAGAAGACCGACATTCGCCTGAAAAGGATCTTGTACTTGAAGGCAATGAAAAAATACAGGGACGAAGGGCGACCAATTGTATTCACTGACGAGTCGTATGCCCACTCATCACATACAAAAGGTAAGGCGTGGTCAGATGGTTCCGCTCAAGGACTAAAGCGCCCGATATCAAAAGGTCAGCGGATAGTGATGGTACACGCTGGGTCAGAAGCAGGGTTTGTTCCGAACGCGCTACTAATGTTCAAATCTGGCAGCAAAACCGGAGACTATCATGATGACATGAATTTCAAAAATTATGAGAAATGGTTACGGACCCAACTGATTCCAAATTTGAGCCCTAACTCGGTGGTGGTTATCGATAATGCTCCGTACCACAACAAATTAATGGATCCTGCCCCTACATCTAATGACAAGAAGGCAAAAATGGAATCGTGGTTATTAGAAAAGGGTATACCATATGAAACGGACATGCGTAAGCCACAACTTTACGATCTAATAAAAAAAAACAAAGACGTGAATAAAAAATACGTAATAGATGAAATGTTTAAACAAAACAACCACGATGTCCTTCGTTTACCCCCATATCATCCCGATTTAAACCCCATCGAGATGGTGTGGGCTGCCATTAAAGGGCACGTAGCCGCTAAAAACGTCGACTGGAACGTAACCCGGACAATGGAGTTCATACAAGAAAAAGTAAATTTAATGGGTCAGAATGAATGGAGTGCTTTATGCAGAAAAGTGCAAGAGGTCGAACATGACTATAGGAAGAGCGACCATATTATTGACGAAATGACGGATCAATTATTCATCATTAATACAGCTTCAGATTCAGAAAGTGAGTCTGAAAGTGAGAGCGACGATTACGAAGATGAACCTATGCCAAGTACCTCACATGGTACACAAGGGGCCGACGACTTTATGTTAGGAATTTCCCCCCTCAGCGACAGTGATTAAATAATAATAAGTGTAAATAAATAAAAAGTATTAAATGTAAATAATATTGTATGTGTTTGTGATAAAATCTGCCCCTATCGAAAGGTGAGGTATCAAAATTGAATCTTTAATTTATAATGTCTCCAAAGTGTTTTGATATTTTTGGTCACTGTATTAGGGAAATTTTATTTGTACATTGGTATATATAAAAAAATGACAATAACAGTTTTCTTCACGAGTGTTCATGCGCTAAACTTCGCAGAGCCTATATTCAGACTCGCCAAGATACGTCGGCCGTATAGTACACAGAACACCATTACTCCTAGCGGAGAATATATACGGAAACTGCACAGTGTCAGCAGTATTTATTATTAAGGGTTTTTAATTATAATATTGTTACCTAAATTAAAAATAATTTTACATTTTATTATACTTATTTATTTGTTAAATCTATGAGTTACAAATATCATTTCGTAGAGTTTACTAAAAATAACACTACAAAAGATTTCATGATAAATGATTTATTTAATGATAATTTTCAACCATCTTATATAAATATAAGTTAGGTAAAAGTTTAATTTCGTAGCAAATAAATGTTATAATCCCTATTTTTAGACATGTAAAGTAAGATGAAACTATGCATTGTTAGTAATGAAATTTAAGAATAAACAAATTTATTAAATATTTAAAATATATGATAACTTGAGGTTTTTGTGATTTTGCCATCTAGCGTCGATAGTTTTTATCACCTTGAAAATTAATAAGTTTTAGTTCGATAAAATGACTTTATTACCAAAGCATGTAGTAGATGGCGCTATTACAAATCTCAAATATAAAATTTTCGGTTCGCAATGGATCTCACAGACTCACAGAGTACTGGAGCCTGAAATGAACCATTTGAATGATCGATCCGAATGTACCAGTACGCGTGCCCAAATGTACTAGAATGATTCGGTCGCTAGAAATGAGTGATTTACACATGTCTAAGAGCTACTAGTACCGCCTCCAGCGAATCCTTTTGAAGCATTGAGACTTTTGATTAATGATAAATTGATAGACCTAATTGTGCAAGAAACTAACGCTCACGCAGTAAGAGTACTATCTTCACCTGGTGTAACAGATCAATCAAGAATCACACGCTGGAAGGATGTAACACGTGAAGAACTTTGGACATTTTTGGACTGCTCCTGCATACAGGAACAATTCGCCTGAATAGGCTAAGTGAGTATTGGAAAAAGAACAGGCTATTTAAATGACCAGTTGTTCTCGTCACGTGCCGAGAAACCGGTTTACGTTAACACTACGTTGCCTGCACTTCTCTTCTGATTCAAATGAGGAAGATAGGTTGGTTCCAATTCGCCCAATCATGAACCATTAATGAGACGATGAAACGTATTTACAGTCCAGGTAAACAATTATCGCTTGACAACTCGATGGTTTTATGACGAGGTAGACTTATATTTCGGCAATATATTAAAAACAAGCGCCACAAATACGGTATAAAGTTATATGTTCTGGCGGAACCGGATGGCACGGTCTTGAATTTTCAAGTATATAGTGGTGCAAATGATACTACCTCAGGAAAAGGACAAAAAAATTGTCCTGAAATTGCTCGAAGAAAGATTAGACTACGGCCACAGTATATACATGGATAATTATTATAATTCCTACAATTTGGCAGTAAAATTACTGGAACGAAAAACTTACTGCACAGGCACCTTGGGAAAAAACAGAAAAAATAATCCAGTGGATCTCGGTTCAGTCACTCAGAAAGGGAGAAAACAAATCATCGTTCTTGAATGGTGTCCACATCGGTAAGTGGAGAGACAAACGGAATGTGCTCTATATATCCACGGAACATGACGACGAGATGGTAGAAGTCACTAGCAAAAGGGGCCAAGTGTTGCTAAAACCCTCAGCTATCGTCCAATACAATAGCTTTATGTCTGGAGTAGACCTTCAGGACCAAATGTTGGCCTATTACCCATGCCAAAGAAAGACGCTGCGCTGGTACAAAAAACTTTTTGTACATATTCTGCAAATGAGCCTAAGTAACGCGTTTTACTTATTTAATAAATACTCAAATTCCGACAAGATGAACCTCTATGATTTTAGAATGGCTATCTTAGAAAATCTTTTACCTCAACCTGTACCAACGGAGCAAATTACGTTAAAAATTCAACACAATTTGACGAAAATAGAAAACTTTAAATTACGTGAAAAACGAGATGGTAATCCCACAAAAATTACTAGAGAAATCATCAGGAAGGAATGCAAGGGCTGGAGAGCCAAGAAAAAAAGAGTAGCTACATTATACGAGTGCAAAGGATGTAATGGATCCCCAGGATATTGTACAGCATGTTTTAGCAATGTCCACTCTTAAAGTGTGTTATGTATTTAATATATTGTGTATATATGTGCCTTATTTACCTACCTTCTTATGTTTTAAATTAATAAAAAATGTTTGTTGTTTACACTATCTGTCAGTTTATGGGGTGGTCATTATGGTGCAAAGGAGCAGAAGTACTTACTGTAATAATAACATGTTCTTTATTGCACAACCCTCGCCAACACGGATCCGTGTAGGGCTAATATTTCCAATATGGACCATCGATTTCGAAGCCCATATTTTTTTTGTAGATAGTACTCACTAAAAGAAAGCGTTTTGCAAAGTTTTAGGTTGCGGAAACTTACGGTTCATGAGATATATTTTTTTAAACTTTTCATACAAATTGGTAAATAACACGCAATTACAAAATAAATTTGACAAATGATTGATGTCAAACGTCAGTTAGTGTAGGTTCCGAATATTTTGAAAGTATCGATACCTACTCCATACCAAGTATCGTATCAAAAGTATCAATACTACTTGGTATCGAGTACATTTCGTTAATTTTGGAGACGAAAAATTATGACAAACCATTAGATGCATAGGAAGAGCTGATAAGTGCAATTATATATGTATATAAAGTTTACTCTATTTAAGTTCCACCTTAGTACTTGTATTTCATTGTTTGCCCCCGTGGTTATCATTGATATTTAAAAGGGCATTCAATGTGTTAACCTTCATGGCGCTGTTATACTCCACATTTAAATACTCTGTAGCTGTGTTATTGCAAAGTCGACTGTATTACTACAATTTTAGCTATCGGAATTATAAATGGTCAGTTGAACGTAAAGAACCACAGTTTCACATTACATATTCTACAAGACATGTTCCGCTGGAACAAAATTTATAGTCAAGGCTCCATAATAACAACCAGGGCATTCGCATTTTCATGTCCAAGAGCGATGACTTCCACAGCTTGACTGGACACGTGCGTGCTCTCAAAACTTGAGCTCAACAGATATTCTCTCGCTTCTGCGATTGACCATAATCTCAGAGTTGTTGTTCGAGGGCTTACAAAGGAGCTCTAAGTCGAACACATTCTAAATGATTGGAAAACCCAGTGTCTCCCTTGCCGTGAGGTGCGCAGGATGCGCAATCCTAACGAACAAAAAACGATAATTCGACCTATGCTCTGTCATTCAGAACTTGTCTTCGGAAGACAAGAAGATATTCAATGACATACGCGTCTGCAAGCTCACGGGGTTTGCAATTGGCAGTGCCACCGATGATGAAAGGCAACGCTGGACTGGAAGTTTCTGAACTGCATACCGATCGACATTCGAATTTTATTACTATGTAGGATAGTTCTTAGAGACCTTTCACCAATTGCTATTGTTACGGCTCATCTACCGCCTCTTAAATCTGTATTAGCAACCAACATCTCATCTCTGCTAATACTCGTTCCTAGTGCTATAATAGGTGATGACCTTAACAGAAGGCAAGTTAGCTGAAACTTTAACATTATAATCTTTTCCAGATCGAGTTTTGGTCACAAGTCTTAAGATGACTAGCTATCTGCACAGGACAGAATTATAGTGCCCGAGTGTATACGCAAGCACAAGTGCACTTTCTATTATCTCACTCTCATAGTCCGATGGGACGGTTATCCAACACGACCGAGAGAGACAAACGTAGGTCTTAGATGTTTTCCGAGGCACGGGAGCGAAACACCGCAAACTTTCTGAATCCGGGCTGCTACTTTGAATTTCTTGACAGAAAAACACAATATCTGACTTAGGCCCAATCCGGGATTCGAATCCAGGACCTCATGATGAGCAACCGTGTTTACGACCAATAGACCAATGAAGCAGTCAATCTCTTTAACATTAATAACCTGAATTAGCACCCTTCAATGTCACAGAGAGACTAAACTTCGATGTTATCACGCCTGCGGCTCCGTTTTTTGGCAACCACAATCGAACGTCTGACGTAGCGACAATCAAGGACATTCTACGTTTGCTAAGATCGATCGAGTCAAGTTTAAAATTCGACTCAGACCACAAGCCAGTCTTACTACAGCTGGGTCAACCGCAGGTCTTAGATCAAATGCATCGTGGATTGGCGCGAGGTCAAATTCGATTCTAAAAACACTATACCTGACAATTTGTCTAAAGAAGCCTAAAAGGTGATTAGCGTTCTATCGGCCCACCTCACTTCAGCGGTCGAAGAATGCTCGCGCAAGATTCGGTATCGAGCGATCAACACTAGAAGCTTCTGGGATATTGGACAACTGATAAGAGCGAAAAACAAGGCGTTAAAAACATTACGATCGCTACCGTACCATAGGCAATACAAGATGTCAAATCAAAAATTTTGTGTAACCGACTTCAATACGACCGAAACAATGTATTCGAATTCCATTAAATACGCATCATTAAGGATAACTAAAAAATAACCGTTCATGGCACCACATGAGAAACACCAATTTTCAAATAAAAAAAGATTCATCAAAATCGGTTCAACTTCAAAAAAGTTCTGAGCTAAAACACAAAAAAAAAAATACAGTCGAATTCTCCTCCGAAGTCCGAAGAGCCGTAGGCACGATCAAATACGTTTTTACGTAATTAGTACATTTTATTGAAGAATATTCTAGTAAAAAAAATTGAACGAAATATATTATTAGAATTATTACACCTGTTATTGGTTATTAATAGTACTATGGAGAACTATGGAAGTAGGTCTTTGTTTGTCTTTTTTAGGATATCGATGACTTAACCTGCAAATCGGCCAACTCCACTTTTGAACTAAAATTATGTTTTTAAGCGGTTAAATGCGAGTAGTCTTCACCCACAGTAAGCAAAATGAAAAAACTCCTTAGCATTTAAAATTACGCAGAAAACAGTGTGCACGTAAACAGGGCAACTCCCAACTGAGACATAGCAACACCGAAAAGTGGCTAACTCCTACGCCGGACGCCATTTTGTACTGGACAGTGACACAGAAGGATCCGCGCTTGAGGGCTGAGTTTACTTTTTCCAAAAACTGAGTAAATACCACATAATTTAGGCTAAATACAATACAGTGAATTTTGTGGTAAGTAATTTTATTCTTCTAAATACCTAAAAGGAATATCACTTTTTACCTATGAAATTGTGACGATGGAGTTAGCCGTTTTTCTGTGTAAGATATTTTGCGTTTGATTTGGGAGTTGCCAGTTTTTTTTTTTGGACTTCTCTTCAATTCTATATTTTTTTGGTTTTGTTTATTTGCTAATAATTGTATAAAATCGGTTTTAATACAAATTATATCGGATTTATCAATATAATGATATTTATTTTATAAGAATAATCATTAAAATATTTTGTAATGCAATTTGTTGGTATTTCAACTGTAGAAGATGTCAAGGGCAAAAAAACTTATTGAAGCCGCTTTAAAGAAAAATGACAATTATCACAAAAGAGTCTATTGAAAATATGCCTGTTATATTGGTTGCTGGTACGGCAACATCTAATGTTGCTTCAGTGGTCGTTACGGAATATGATCCTCTATCTGATGGTATTTCAACATCCGACCTTGCTACGGAGGTAATGGAAATTGAGACACTGCCTGGTTTGTCATCAACATCTGATGCTCTTCTTACTTCGACGATAATGGTCATTGAACCACTATCTGATGATTCATCCGGCCTCGTAACATCGGTTACTCAGGAATGCATAGAAACCACCACAACTTCCGAGGGTACATCACGTAATGATAATAATGCTATCTTGATGGACAACTATTTATTGGATGATATTGAATGCTTGGATGCTGATGATTCATTCAGCCTATTGACATCAGTTACTCACGAATGCATAAAATCATCTGCACCGGCTACAAATTCCGAGGGTGCATTATGTAATGATAATTGTACTGTCTTGACTGACAACGATTTAATCGATGATATCGACTTCATGAATATACCACTTGTACCTTATTCTGAGCATTCCGATTCTAATAGTGAAGAAGAACCTAGGAAAATTAAGAGAAGAAAAAAAAACTGGTAAACAAAGCTACATGGAAAGATCAAAAAAACAAATTAATAGGGAAAAAGGGAGGGAGTATACTGGGCGTAAAAAAATTGATGGAAAATGGGAAGAAACGAAAAAGACAAAACGAGTTCTTAAGCCTCGATGCAAATGTAACACGACTGTCAAAAGTGCTTTGAAATGCAGTGAAATTCCAGAAGATGAAAGAAAACTACTATTTGATAAGTTCTGGAGGATGGCTTGGGAAGAAAAAATGGTTTTCGTGAATGGGTTTGTACAAAAGATACCTACAAAACGGCCAAGAGACAGGAAAGACGAATCTTTTACAAAAAGAGAAAGTACAATGATATATAACTTGCTTTTGAAAGACGATCGTCGTGTAAGAGTATGCAAAACGATGTTTCAAAATACTTTATGTATTACCAAAATGTCCATCTGGAACTGGAAAAAAGGTAAAGACAATAAGCCTGACAACAAAGAAAATGTTAGAAAAAATCCTCACGAAGCAGAAGTAAAGTCACTTAAAGAGTTTTTGAAGAACATACCAAAAATGGAATCGCATTATTGTCGTAAACACACATCCAAGCTTTATTTGTTACCAGAATGGTTATCAAAGAAAGCCCTCTACGATTTCTACAAATCAGATTGGTGCCCGTCGCAAAATATCGAACCTCTATCAATTGCGAAATTCAGCAACACGTTGGAAATTGAAAATATTTCATTGTTCAAGCCCAAAAAAGATGAGTGCGAAAAGTGCCTCTCTTACAAACTCGGAAACATACCAGAACCAGAATATAGAGAGCACATCGAAAGTAAGAATGAAGCCCGAATCGAAAAAGAAAACGATAAAAAGACTGAAGAATTTGTATTTACGATGGACAAACAAACTGTGCTACTGGCACCTAAATCTAATGTTTCGTCTCTATATTATAAAACCAAGCTATGCACACACAACTTCTGTGTTTTTAATTTGAAAAACAAGGACGGATATTGTTTTCTCTGGAATGAGACGGAAGGTGGGCTAACCTCAGACAACTACGCTACCATAATTGTCAAATTTATATAAGGGCACCTGAAAAGGTAATAAAATTTTTATTATACAGCGATGGATGTGCAGCTCAAAATAGAAACATAGTACTGGCAAATGCTTTACTAAATGTTGCAATATTAAACAACATCACAATCGAGCAAAAATATCTTGAAGTCGGTCACACTCAAATGGAGGCAGACTCAATGCATGCCACTGTCGAAAGAAAGCTAAAAAATAAAATAATCCATGTACCAGCTGAATATGCAGGAGTTTGTCTTGGAGCACGTAAACAGCCTAAGCCTTATAACGTGTCCTATCTAACTCACAAATTCTTCAAATCTTTTGAAAGAGTCCAATTCTACATGTCTATAAGACCAGGAAAAGCCAAAAGAGATGCCAAGGTATCTTCGATTATATTTGATAGTAGATTTACTGTTATTTTATTAGTCTTTTTTTAGAGATAAGTAGGAGAATGGTAACTAAATTTTTTATTATTTTAGGTAACTGATATTCATGCGTTGCAATATAAAACAGGGAACATCTACTTTAAGCTAAGATTTACTGATGAATGGCAGTTACTGCCACAGCGACGTAATCAAAATATCACAGTAAACCAATCGAAAGCTTACCGGATCTTCATAGAAGTCGCCTTAAAATAAACAGCCGTAAATTCAACGACCTCCAGGAGTTAAAATACACCCTACCGTCGGACTACAGAGACTACTACGACAATATACCTCATGAAGACTAAATATTAATCTAGTCTAAGATATAAATATTAAGTATAAGATATAAATATTAAGTATTAAATAAAATATTTTAGACCAAATTACAGTATTTTTCTTATTTTTCGATACGAACATAATAATACAGAAAAAAGGACAACTCCCATTTTTTAAGTTTTTTATTTTTTTTTTAAAGGCTAACTCCAAAAATTTAAGTATAGGGTATTTTGTCAATATATTTCTCTGTAATTTTTGATAAATTCCATTTACAAAATAAAAAGACACCAAATAGATTTTTGGAATTTGAATAATATAAGTAATAACCGTTTAAATGATGTTTTTTCGTTTCCCTATACAATGTCATAAAACGGAGATAGCCGATTTGCAAGTTAAGCCATCGATATTGTAATCTCAAATTATTTAAAAGGAAATAAAGCAAAAAAATATTGTCAGTCGTATGACTGCACGTCAGAAGAGAAAACTTCTTAGCTTCACAAACTTGTAAACATTATTTTGGGGTCGTTAAGAAAAAAATTTAAGAAGTATTTTTATTAGAAATTATTATTATCTACGTATTAAAATAATAATAAAATTTACATCTATTGCGCTGTTTTAGATGAAAAATAATAATTATTATCTATATAATACAAGAAAATTTATAAATACATATCGATTTTATGAAATCCAATCAATTGGATTTTCAACGTTACTTTCATTAATTTTATGTATCTGAGCGTGACGGTCACGCGACGTCAGTGTTTTTTTTCTATCCCAAAAGTGCACAACGTGCCTAAAGTAGTTTTCACTTTAAAAATATATCAACAAATTGATTGGACTGCAATGAATGACTTACGGATTATGTATATACCTTTTACCAACCTACGCCATTAAACTGGCACGCCACAAGCTTGTACAGAATTTTTAAATAGATTTTATTTAATTGATGAAGACTGACGTGTTCACGTGCATACAGGATATATAAATCTAGATATGAGTATGGTCTAAGATCTCGAAGGACTAAGATGGAACGCTTCGCTACCAGTGATTGTCTTTTTAGTTCTTTCTTGTCATTCACAATACCAAAGAAAACACCTATGCTGTTTTACGCTGGTATTGCCTAACGTAATCATTTTTCATATGTATAATAGGTGTACGAGCTACAACTACGCTTACCAATTTAGAAAATAAAGGCACATCAAATAAAACAAAAGAAAAAAGTTAGAAAGTAAATAATTATTACCAAAAAGGAATACGACTCCAGCGATTTATTATTAATAAGTAAAATAACAAGTTGAAACTTCAAAGTCATCAAGATGAAATCTGCCGTTTATACCACTTATATAAAGACAGAAACAAAGAAAGAAATTATATCTATCCGTATAAGTACGCTGTAACCAGCACAATACAGAACAGTCAGTGCGAGACAAAAAAGCTAAAGAAAAGTAACTCAGCATAAGCTGTGGCAACGTTACCACAGCGCTGTTATTCTGCCGGTACCTTGGATAAAATTCACGAGCTAACTTATTTAATGAGTTTATCTTAATCTTTTTAAAAGCTTTTACCTGTATTAGAGTATTGTACATAATAATTGTAATTTTGAACCTTTATTTCATTTATTATTTACAGCCTATCCAAAAGTGTACTGCTGAATGTAGGCCTCCCACATAATTTGCATTCTCAACATAGTCTGCCGACAAACATAGCTAACTCAACTTCATATCCAACATAATTTAGAATTCAAAACTATTATAAATTTGGTATTTTGTGAGAGTTGGCAATCCTAGCTTTTACTAGACCAGTACCACATCCCATATGTGCATATACATATAGATGTATATCACAAACTATAATTTATTTTAAATCAAATTTAAGCAAATGAAAGATTACGATAACATTTTTATGACGAATATTACTTCAATTAAAGTTACCTAAGACATTTATGGGTATATAATACAGTAATAGTCTTAAATATGGAGTAACAAAAATCGGAATACGATCTTTATTTATTGTACTATAAAGCGACAGTAGCCTAATGGCAGGGCGTGGACCGCGAACTCAAAAAGGTCGTGGGTTCGAATCCACCATTCCAATACTGTAGTGAACCACTCGTAACACAAGCAATTTAAGCTTACCACGAGTGGTTAAGGGGAATATTAGTAATGTCTATATAGCATTGTTAATATTCTTTAAAAAAAAAAAGTCAATTAATTTTCGGTTAATGTTTGGTTCGGTTTGATAAAGAATTTGAAATGTTATGGATCGATCGGTACGGTTTAAAGCAGCGAGTAAATGTAAGCACTGGCTAAAAACAGCAAAAAATGTTGATGTAATTACAACTGTCTGTTGTAAGATGTGCTAAATTTCATTACAGCTGCGGCGTGCTTACGTGTGTGGCTTACGTGTTTGTGCGCTTGTTCCTGCGTCGGCGCCGGCATCAGCTGCGCTTGTCGTTGTCGCCGGCCGCTAGCGGAGCCCCGGACTTTGCTTTCGTCTTCGCCCCTCCCAAGAATACCTTCACCGCGCCCGCAGACATCAAGTAGAACCAGTAAAGTTGCGGCAGCAATAGGATACATATGGAGATCTTGCAACCGGTCGGTAAAGTTTTGATGGCCTGCAAATAGAAGAAAAATATTCTTAGCAACAACACAATACAGCACAATAAATTTAAGAAAAAAATGACTGTATAAGCTACAGCAATATTACCACACCACTTTTTCACACAAATTTAGGAGTCTACATATACTTGATGCATTTAAACGTAAAATTAAGACTTAGATGTAGACCACTTATTCACAAGAAATTTAGAAAATAAAATTTATGTAAAGTAACACAAGGTTACAACAATACAATGTTCTCATTAGGTATATACCTCAAAACTTGAAAACGAGGTTGTACAACCAGTGCGTGTTGCCAGTCGATGACTTATGGATCTGAGACGTGGTCATTCACGTGGCGAGACTATGGAGTGAGTGAGTGACCGACATAGCCCAACGGATTAGTAAGCTGAAGTGGCAATGGACTGGCCATATAGCTCAAAGAATCGACAACCGAAGGGTTTCTTCCTCTTCGGTTGTCGATTCTTTGAGCTTGGTTCTCGAGTGGCAGCCTCGTATCGATAGCGAGATGGAGTGACAACCTGCTAAGACATGCAGAAAGTCGATGGATGCAGAATGCAGGTGGCTCAGAACCATGCTTTGTGGCATTCTTTGGGGGTTGTTTTCTTTTTGTATTCTATGTTCACCAGTGGACTTGTGAAGGGCTGTAATGATGATGAATAATGAACAAGGCTACATGTACCATAAAATAATGTACATTCAGATAGTTATTTATTTAAATATTAATCCAATTTCGTTTCAATAGCCCAACTACCGGTCTGCACATGAACTAGAGTCCCTAACACGTTAGCCCTATTATACAAACATTCATAAATAAATGAGATAAGTGAGGGATGTCTGCGCCATGAGACCTAAAATAACAGATGGATAGAGACAGCTTGTCAGGGTTGGGATTTTCTCACCGCTAGTCAAACAGCTCCCAAGAGATATAAGGGGTTCTGACCATAGAATACTAAAATTCACAATAGAATGCTGTCAACCTTATTTTGTAAGAGATTTGGCGTCGCCGGGAGCACACATACAAGCAATTACGTCGTATTACCAGTTTATCACTACTACGGACCCGATTCGCTGTGTCGACAGACGGATTTTGATACATATTTATTTGTAAATAGCGTGCAATTTGGCATTTTCTAAATAATTTGCATACGAAATTTGGAAACGATTGTAACGTCAAAACACATCTCGTGTTGACATCCATACGTGTGAATTGACGTGTTAGTGACATTTTAGTGCCTACACGGGCTCCGTCCACTCCGCCGTTCTATTATGTATGTATTATAGTATTCTATGTTTCTGACGGTTAAACGTGTTTTGGCCACAATGAGAGGAAGACCAGGTTTATCAGAAGTCTCGGCGATAATAACGAAATCGTGATTAAGCGTTGAAAGAACACACAGCTGGATCAAGTAACAGTGGGCTTTCTGGCTGCTTTAATGCCATTTAGGAATTCATGGAGGGGAAGTAAAATTGTTAGGAAAATGTAAAGCTTAATGCAACGACTACACAGCCCGAATAGACGCCTCATGCAAGGCAAACACTTTCTGTCAACACGTTAGACAAATACGTCTTACTTAAGAAAACGATCGCACGATCTACTTTAGTAGCGACCACTTCCCTGACCCGTGAACATCTTGCATGTGACTCGTGAATTTTCGACAAAATAAAATACAACAGACGCGCAACATGGTACCCT